ATAAAATGTAAAGGAAATTTCGCTGCTTGCGGTAATTATACCGACAGCAAAAACCCCTATATACCCCCTCCTCCCTAATTTCGTTTTTAACCTATCTTACCTTAACTGTTGATTAGATTTAATAAGAAAAGCCATCTCCATTTTTTTCAAGACAATGCATCTCCCAAAATACGGTCATAATTTAGCTCGCCTAGACGGCATCTTCGTTATGTCTAAAAGGTCACTAATAAATCGATATTTTAATGTTCTTTTTTGCAATTTTAACCCTGTTTGGCTATTTTTTCAGTGGCCAAACCTTCACTATATTATTCAGTACCCTTGATAACATAAACCACGAATAGAATCGACTGGCTTAGCGACCTCTTTTAACGAGCGTAAAAATGCAACCTTCGAATCATAATATGAACTTTCTTTTCGAATGCGTTGTCTTAGCAAAAAAAGAAACAGATATTCGGAATCAGCATAAAAAATTATATTAAAAAAAGTTCATTTCATAAAAATATCCTAAGAGGAGATTTTCCCTATCCATTTGCAGGTCCTCCTTATAAAAAACAACTAAATTGCTCATTAATTTTTTGTCGACAATCCAATTGACTTTCAATGTATCTCTTAGCCTTAAGGTGGCTGATTATCTCCTTGAATTTGCAATTAACAGTAACAATAACATTGCAACTTCAGCTTGAACCTGTAAAGAACAAATAGAATGGAAAAGGGTTAAAATGAATAAGCTATTTCAATAGATTCAAATAGCCTGAGTGAGTAATCAATTTTGGTTTTACCTTGATTAAATTCCATGTTTCGGCTTTAACGCACCAATAGACAATAAATAAATGTCTATCATTATTATGTCTATCCTACTGTCATTGCTCTTATCATAATTTTGCTTGATAGGATAGATGAATGAATCCAATGGTTTATTTCAGCAACTGCCTTTTCAAACTGTAAAATCAAAATACGAATCAATAAGTATACATTAGATTTTTGTATATTTTTTGATGGAAATGTCATGTTATTTGATGTAACATCAAATAATTAAAACAAGGGGGTCTACCAGTCTGTCAGGCTCCATTATTTCATGGTGTCTTACATGTGTTGTCTATTTTCAAACCAACTGGAATCGACTTGGAAGTTAAGCTATCACAATTCAACTTGACATTGGTCTTGATATGTTATAGTTTGTAATTATCTAATGGTAAATCAAGGGTAAGATTTATACAAAATGTATATTAAAATCAGCATTCATGATGTACTCACGTGTAATTTAGGCATGCGATGTGACGAGGAGGAATTAAAGAGGCAGCCTTTTTAAGCCTTCTTTATTAACTATTTTAAATACTTATTAATTGAAGTTAATTATATGATTAAATAATTAATAGTCACTTTAATTATTGTTTGATTATCAACTGTTTGACTGGTTAAGTTGAAATACCAGCTATTCCAACTCTGTTTACAGTAGTGTTGCAACAATATCATCGATACAATAAATAATATCGATAACAAAGCTAGCAATATTTATCGATAAGTCCGACAATACTATCGATAACTAATATTATCAAAAAATCTTACGTCCAGCTACAATAAAATGTTTTTTTCTGAAGCGAGTCAATAATTAATGAAGAATGCACAGGTTAATGTTAATAAACTAATGTTTCTAAGCTCACTGCCTGGTTCTCTGATTAAGTTTTCAATCTGCAATTCAGTCAATAGAAATCTAATAATCTAATCTTACCTATTTTTTCATATTAAATTCTATGAAAATAACAATATATTGCAATATTTTTCAATATTTAACGATATTTTTCAATAACAATATCATCAATAAGTATCGATAAGTACTCAAACAATATTTTTCCTATCGATAAATAACTTTTTTCAATATTTTGCAACACTAGTTTACAGCAAATTGTGGGAATGCTGTAATTTGTTCATTTAAAATCAATGCAAAAAACAAAGACATTAGAAATGCCGCCATCTCTTGATGGAAACGCTTTTTCCTTCATTAGACACTTCGCATCGAAGAGTTATACTGCTCTTTGTTTCGCATTGCCTAATGACATTCACAAAATTGTCCTGTAAGGTTTGTAAACAATCCTTTTATCATCACAGCAAACAAATGAAATTTTATAATCAGTTCGGCTGAGTTATCACGCAAAAATTTAAACATTAGTATCAATTAACAGTTCATGTTTCAAATGTGATTATTCTACAATTTCTTGTTAATTTGTTTGGTGCTTCCACAGTAATTTTGAAAACAAATTTCTCATCTTTCATTTTCCTCTTCAAATATTTACATTGTAAACTCATGAGAATTTTCACTCTTTTTTCAATTAGGTCCAGAGTGCGATCAAATTTACAACAGTGATATTTTCAAGAATGGAACCTTTTCATCTCCTAATTACCCAAATCCATATCCAGCCAATATTCATTGTAAATACCATTTCATGGGCAGAGGAAAAGAAAGGGTCCAGATAATGTTTTCTGATTTTCACGTATACAAGCCTGATGATTCTCCCAAAGAGTAAGTATAATTATTCCCCTTTTAATGAAAATCCTTACAATTAAAAATCTTTATTAGCTAGTAAAATAACGGAACCATTGAAAGATCAAGACAAGATCTCAAAACTCTTGGATCTTTTGAACTGTAAAGGGAGCATTAGATGAATGCAAATTCATGTGAATGTAATTTGATGAATTTTGGGTTGTAATAGATCCAAGTTTCAGAAATTCCTCAATGCCTTTTGATTGATCTATTTCGAGGACAATTTGGAGCATTTCTGAAGAACATTCTGACTCTCAATTGAATCTGAAAATATTGCTACTTATGATAACTAGTGATGACTTCTTTCTGATTTATATTGATTACCTTAATAATAATTCTCTTATTTCTATCTTTTTTCATATTTAGCTGTGATGGTGCTGATGTTGTTATGGTTTTCATAACAATCAATGGACAAAAAGAACGATTAGATAATCTTTGTGGAGATACATTACCACTGCAACTAATGTCCAATGGTCCATCAATGACAGTAGAATTCAAAAGCTTAGATAACTCGGAACAATTTCGAGGATTCAAAGCTGATTATCGATTTGTTACAAGTGAGCATTTCAAGCATATCATTGACAATAACACAGGTTGAAGCATAGAACCATTAGTCTACAAATATTTTTAAAATTTTAAATCATTCATTCCGCCCATTATTCCTATTTGCGTCATGGTTGAACATTTCATTGAAGCATCTTGTTTTGATGATATTTGCTTAGTAAAGGAATTTCCAGGCCAATCTAAATTGTTAAAATTTTAGTTTTTTTGAGCTATTTCTGCTACTTTTCAATTTGTAGTCCCGATTTTGATCTCGAGTTAGATCTTAATTTTTCATTGATCTCATTAGAACCTGCGAGAAAGAAAAACGATGAAAATATATGAAAAAGACGACAGAAGCAGGATGAAAATGAAAAGGAAACATACGTAAGGATAAATAAGATGATAACCTGACTAAGGACAATGGATATCCAATTAACTGTCATCTTTTAAGTTAACTTCATGTGTCTCTTCTCATCCTTTTCATCAATTCTTTCATGTTACACTGTTTTTTTTGTTCCTCAGGTATTTTTTTTTCTTTTCCCTTATTATTATTTCTCATCATTCCAACTTCCTTTTCTTTCTCATCTCCAGATAAAATGAAGATCAAGTAGAAAAAAAGAAGAAAAGGAAGAAAAAGAAGATTCTCTTTGGATTTATAAACAAGCAGTTAGACCTTAGTTGGAGACTGAAGACTCTTATTTTAGACACTTGCTCAATAGAAGATGATTTTGATGGATTTTTTTGTTTCAACCTATTCTTACATGTCAACCAAGCTATTCACCTTAATCGATTTGGTGCCAAGCTTATTGTCAAATGATTAATCCGCTTAATTCGTTTTCAACTATCAGTATAATCTTTAAATTTTCAATTACATTACCCATTGATTTTATCATGTTAATTGAGGTTGAATTGAGACTAGAATTGACCCAGATTATTGTTCATGATGAAAACACCTGAATATACCATTCTTACAAAAGCTGATTAGTTCTTAATTCACCTAAATATCCAGTCTTAACGTTAACTCTTGTATTGTTTATTTAATTTCAATTTCATTCTTCTTCTTTTAAGTCCATTCTTTTTAGTTTTCATGATCATTGTCAACCTGAGCTTATCTTCTTCCAACCTTGTTAACTGTGATTAGCTTTCATCAGATTATTACCTATTTATGAGAAAAAGATAATTCTCATAAAATAACTGAAAATTTCCACCACAGTTAGCTCCATTATCCCGAAAGAAACTTATCAAAGCTAACCGACCAATGTTATTTTTTTGCTAATCAAAATCCTAATCAAACCTGAACATTCACAACTTGAACTTTGGCTATTTAATTCATAAGTGGAATGTAACCTTTCATTTACCTTAAACATATCAAGCTAAATATTTAGAGAAAGGTAATTCTGTTGCGTAAAAATGTGTAAAAATATGTTAATTAGCCAAACATTTATTCAACATCTGTTTGCATCCAAATTATTGGTTCACCAGTCTTTACAACTTATCCAAACAAACATGTTATATTATTATTGAACAAAGTTTAAACATTGCTTTTTTTCCTCCCAGATTTTGGTATAACTGCTGGAGTACAAGATTCACAATCAGGTTAGTTTACAGGTTAATCATTTTACTAAATAGAAGCAAATGAAAAAATTTTACACTTGAATGGGATAACTATTAATGGATTTTTTTCCTTTTGTGTTTTCAGTTTGTGGATTTATTTTCCGAAGCTCTGATCGTTCCAATGGCTCATTTACTTCGCCAAATTATCCTGGACAATATCCAAGGGACACTGAGTGTCACTATTTTTTCTTTGGTAATGTGTCTGAAAGAGCTCATATCACTTTCGCTTACTTTGATATTGAAGGTGTAACACCGTAAGTGTACTTTATTGAATTTTTATTTTACATGGTTGAATTTTGGTATTTAACGATTTTTATCTTACTTATATTTTAGGTGTACAACGGAAACAGCGAGTGATTATGTTGAATTTTCAAATTACAGAACAGTCGATAGGAAAATACCAAGACATTGTGGTGTTAAAAAGCCAAAAACCATTGAATCAGATGGAGACTTTTTCCGTATAACATTCAAATCAAATGATAGATTTGATGGGACTGGCTTTGAAGCTTTTTACCAATTTAGAGGACCCGAAGGTAATTGGTCTGAATGTTCATCTGTAGCTTTATTCAATATGCTTTGAGTAAAGTTACCCTGTTTCATATTCATTATGTTTAATTATGTTTCTTTTTTTGTTTCTTCTCTATCAAAGATGCCTTCAATGTTAAACAAATTCGTGGACTATCAGTTGCAGTTAGTTTTCATATGCAATCCATGGAAGTTTTAGTTTATTCCATGATAATGATATTTCAACTTGTGATCATCTTGTGAACAAGACATTTCTTACATGTAAACCTCATGATGGGGTAACGAGCCAATTATTAGATTAATAATTGTGTTTCAGCGGTCACCATTGGATTCTAGTCTCAGAGCTGTTCACGCAAAGAATTGGACTTTTGACTAAGGCTAGAGATTCTTTAGGGATAAAGTTTTTGTCACAATCAATCGGATGACAACGAACACAGTTTGATTGGAGAGATACTGGACAAACTGTTGATTTGGTGAATGTGCTAATAAACATCCAATTTCAAATGAAAGTCGAATGAAAATGTGAATCTTCAATAAAAAATGTATATGAATCAATTGAATCACAACTCGGATCAAAGTTTCTGATTAATAGAGCTCAATTCTAGAAAAATTAAGGTTGTTGGATGTTTTCCCCCTGATTTACTTTATTTCCTTCTTTGTACCAATAAGTTAAAAAGGAAAAAAAATAAGTCTACAAATTGTACTAGCGATGTTTATATACACGGGAAAAAATAAATATGCGAAAAGAATATTTATTGCCTTTTTGAATAAAATTGAATAAAATTCAGTTGTCTCAATCAAACTAACCAACATTTTGTCAAATTTTTTAGAAGTAAGAAAAAACCATTTCTGGCTCAACTCAAAATCGGTTATTCGTGAAAACTTTAAATGAAAGTAAAACTTGATTTAAATTCAGAATTTATTTCGAAACTTGAACCCAGGTGACAACTGAGGTATCGACCACAGTAGTACATCATAGAAAATTGACTTCAAAAATTTCCAATCTAATCAAGATGGAAATGTTTAGCGAGAAAGCGACTGATAATACATGAGAAATAAGTATAAATATAAACTAACAAATATTCAAAAATGAATATGTAATGTCTTTTTAATGACAATATATCTTTTAATGTCTGTTTATTGCCTTTTTAAAACAAAATTTAATAAAAATTCAGTTGTCTTAATCAACCTGGTTGTATCTTTGTTACATTTGTATCATTATTTCAGAAGTTATTTTAATTTTAACCATTAGGAAATAATTTTTTATTATTAACACGTCTTTATACAAGTTTGGTTTCTGTGCAAAGCTTCCAAGAGGATAAAATGATTTCAATTTCGTGAATCACAATTTACAAATATACCTCTAATGCACTTTTTTATTGGTGAATTGCTTTTTAATCAGCAATTATGGTTGTAAATACATAATACGTATGCGCGATAGTTAATATCAAAATACAACTGAATCACAGTGCAATAATTAAATTTAAATTTACTGAAGAGTAGAATTGAAAATATTAATTTCTATTCTTACTATCAAGTAATGATCTAGACATATATATTTATATATTTTGCTCGATTAGTTTAGATAAATACAATTACATTGCAATTGAAAAAGGTCCTTGATTTGATGAGAGCAAACGAAGAGACTTTAAGGGCAGATTTACATATTTCAGTGCCATCAATCCAAAGACTGCAACTAAAAAATCTCATTATTCGCATCCATTGAAGCCAAATTAGATCTTGACAATTTCAATTTATCCTTATTAATCAGATATTGATAATATTGAAATGAACCATGAGTTTTAAATTCACTAAAAAAGTAGTAACTTGATCAATCGTTAGATGGAGACGCAGATTTTTATCTTCATCCAATAAAGTCTGGTCTGGTTGATGTAAACAAATGTAACTGACATTTTTTGAATTGATATTGACACAATTGTTTTCAGTTTGGCTTAGTTAAATTATGGCAGGAAGATCATCACAAGAAGCGAAAGCTAAAACAACAGGTAAGCTTGTCAACAAGAATGATATGCTATTTTGTTATTCAACTAGCTATAAGTCTTTTGTTTAAGTATCATTTTGATTCTAAGTTTTCTTCTTGATCGTCACTTCTAGCCAGTTCGCTTCAAGAGGCTACCAAAAATTTATCTCAATTGGTTAGAGATAAACATCAAGTATCAAAAGACGTGGACAAATTGGAAAGGCTTCTTCACGAACAACGATTGCAGAACATGAGAGAAGTTGCAGAGAAATTGAAAGAAGACGATTGGAAATATATATCATTATCAAAGTCACACCACAGTTGATTCATTGTCATCCACCAATGCGGCTTCTTCATCTATACTGGGAATAGGGCTGGGAGCAATTTGCATATTCTCCTGTGGTAAAATTGTGAAAAGAATGTTTTATGAGTAAAAGTCCAAGAAGAAATAAAAAGTATATTTTTATGTAAACAAAATTAGTCAAAATAACACTTACCCATTTATTTGGTCTAACCCAGGTAAATATATAACCCTCTTGACAAGCAGTAACAAAAAAATCTTCTTTAAATACAAGAGCGGTTAATCTTTCATGAGCAATCTTTTTGCAAATTAAAGGTTCCAAAAGAGGTACTTCATCCAATCTAGGACATATAGAGGTTCCTAGAAGTTTTATTGGATCGTCGTTCAGTTTACTATGACTAGCTTTATTTAAACTGTTTTTATCACTATTACGCGAGGCGAGACTAAAATTCTTTTTGTGTTCCTTCCTTGTTTGACCATGTTTATTGGTAAAACTATTATTACCAGTAGAAGATGTTGATGAAGATATTGTGTTAGTAGTATGATCAGTGTAAACATCAGGATCCAAATAATTGCAATTATTGGGTAAACAGTTTCCTGTCTGGGATGGTAACAATGTATTGTGACATTTATCGGTAGAAGTTAAATTGGAACAATAAGCGGATTGCTGTGCCGAACTAGATACATGACTCGATGAAGAATTGAGAGGATGTTGCGACCCATTTGTTGGACTATGAAGTAAAATACTTGTTCGCGATCGACCAACAGGTTGTTTAATAATGTCTTCCGTTAATTCCCAAAGACATAGTTGAGTGTCTTGACCAACACTTCCAAATCGGTAAGAAGTGATAATTGACGAAGGTGAGTTACGACTGCTGTTGATGATTGGTGATTTATTAACAGTATTACACGTTAGGTGAGTCGAATGATTGTTGAACTCTATGGATGGAGAACCACAGTGATTTCTATTCAATGATGGAATAGTTGATGATGAGCTAGTTGATGAGTGATGCTGTAAATGATTTGAATCATTCAAGGAATGGCTAATATTTTCCGATCTAGTAGCTGGTGTTTCACTTTCTTCACCAAATGCTTCGTTAGCACTATCAACAGCATCTCTAACCGTTGTAGTATAAGGATCAAAGGCGACAACATTAACCCAAGATTTGTGTCCCTGGCCTCGAGCAATCACCCTTTTCTCTTGTAAAGACCACACTGTAACAAGATCATCTTCACCGCCAACAACAACAAATTTACTATCTGGACTCCAACAAATACATAACAAACCTCCAAAGTAGCTTCTTACTCGTCCAACAAGTTCCATAGTATCATAGTTGAAAACACGCAGAAAACCATCCTGACTAACTGTTGCAAGATATTTGGAGCAAGGTGAAAATGCTATTTCGTTGATTGAACCCTCGCCGATAACCCAGCGGTACAAAGGGTTACGAGTGCTTTTCGTCTTACAAGTGTAGATGGCAAAACCTTCCCCTTGTTTAAACAACTGGTAATGTGGTGTTGTTGATCCGCAAGGAAGATCCTCTTTATAAACATATAATTGTCCGCTGCTATGTGATACCAAGAAAAGATTCATAGAACCAGGAACCCATTTGATACAAGTCACTTTTGTCTTATCTATAACTCTCTCCTCATTATACAATTTACAGAATTCTTTTTTGATTGGATCCATTAATTGAATCTGGCCAGCAGATAGACCAACCAGTAAATGTACATTGTCAGCAAATACATTGAAATCATGACATGTTGGGTATAGTCCTTTATAACTTCTTTTGTCAATTGGATTATTGAGGTCGGTTGCATTTTTAATGCCTTTGTAGTTACAAACATACAGCTCTTTGGCTGCATTGAAACAAATTAAATCACCACTGAATGAACACTTAACCGGTGTATTGGTTTGCGGCGTATAACCAACAACAGTGGTTCTACAATTATCACCTTTAAATAGCTTATAAGTTCCCTCACGAGTCACAAATTGACATTTAACTGTTTCTTCTTTTCCGGTGGTTGAGGGATTCAATAAGGTTGCACCTGAAACAGAGTCTTGGCCAGCAGATGCTGAACAATTCATAGCTCAAAGAATATTCATTCACATTAATGAAACAACTCTATCACAATCAAATTCAAACGAAGCGAATGAAGATTAAGATAAACCCCAGACAATTAAAGAAGATAGCATTTAAAATACACCAAAACAACTTATGATATTATTTTTAAAACGCCATCTATTAATTGAACTTTACAATAGTATACGATTATTGCCATCTATCAGCTCAACTTTAAACGATAATTCAATTTTTATTTAAATTCTTATAACTATTAATTGTTCAACATTTAATCAACTTTAGCCATCCACATGAAGCATCGTATGCATTATAGATACAATGTGTGTTGGTTTTCCCAGTTAGCGCCACAGTGATCGAGAAAAACCTCAGATAACCTTATTTTTTGTGGACGTAATGCGAAGACTTTGTTGATTTTGGGATTGCGATTCTTTAGTGACCGAAAGGGATCTTCTTCTTCATTTCGCTCGATGATTGAGATGAGCAAAACTAAATTTCATCATCTGATTAAATCATTGCTATTGGTGAACTAATAATATGTAAATTCAGATCTGAATGGTTTCTCTTCGCTTTGGACTGATCTCTCGCTCCATAAATGCTAGTCTTATGCAGTGTTTCAACGTCTCTGTACATTTCGAGTAACTTTATTTTACTTTAAAATAATTTTTTAAAAAATATGTAACAATATTTAACATTTTCTCACTTTATTCCAGCTGTTAAAATGTGTACACATGTATTTCAACAATATGTTTTAGATAATCTTGATCGTGAATATTTTACATGAGCAATAACAACATTAAATTTTTTCATTTAAATTGATATTTTGTCAATAATTGAATTAAAATGCAACATGTTTAGATTTTTCATTTTAAACTCTAAACTGTTTTCATATGTGTAAATCTGGTATTTTTTTCAAGAATATTAATGCTTTCAAATGTTTTGTTTTTTCACCAAATTAAATCGGAATATTTTGATCACTATCAGTTTTGTGATAATCTAATGGAAGACGTGATTAATGTGAGCTTCACAATAATGAAGGCCTTCAAAAGACAATAAGACAAAAATGACAAATACGTTGAAACTAAACGGTCTCTATGATAACATAACATTCCCGGTTCTTGTGGTTAAACATCTTGATCTCTTTATATCACCATCTTGTTGGTTCAGCTAATTGTTCAACTCAGTCAAAACGTTGTGTAATCGATCAATAAAGATATCGTTGTGATTTTTGTTAAACGTAAGTGTTGTTCTAACTCTTAGTGCAGCGGCTCCTGATCCCCCACAATGGATACCTTTAAGGTGAAGACGTTTAATTACTTCATTCCTCAATTCAGGTGTTGCAAAATCAATAGCGCAAAAGGTTCCCACTCCACGTGATCGTGATACTAAGCCAGGGAAACGAGTTTCAGCCTCCTTCAATCCTTTCAACATTTCTTTTCCAGTTTCTTTAATCGACTCGAGTAGATTATCTCTTTTGATAACCTTAATTACTCGCTCAAGGAGAGCTAATTTAGATGGATCTCCAAGCCAAGTATTAAATATTCGAAAACCTTGATCTGGTCGAAGATGCGCTTTGTAGAAATAACCACCAGTCAGCATTTTCTTACTGAATGTAACTATATCTGGTGGATTATCAAGTTCCCAATGTTCATGTGCCCAAAATTTACCGGTAGGCCCACATCCAGTTTGAACCTGTATTGATGGATAAATCGTAGCATTTTACAATTAGTAACTGAAGTAAAATTATTAGATTGTTGTACACAAGAGCGTAATATAAAATCGCTAATAAAAGGAGCATAAAAATTGGGAAAATTACCTCATCGCAAATAAAAACAACCTGCTGAGATTTGGCAATCTTTTGGAGTTGTTGAAAGAAATATTTAGAGCCATGATTATCTCCTCCCTCTCCTTGAATTGGTTCAACAATGAGTCCAGCAACTGGGCGACCTTTTTTATTGAATCTCTCGATCAAATCTTGAATTTCTTCAAGACATTGGTCATCTGTGGCTTTGTTTTCACGCTCATTATCTTCTAATGGGTATCGATAAATTGGAAAAGGAGCAATGGGCCAATCGAATGAAGGGACATCCAATTTATGGATATATTTGGAATGAGTACAACTTAGGGCTCCAAAAGTTCGTCCGTGAAATCCATGTTTAAAGGACAATATGGTAAGATATGGTGATCCAGGATACTGGTTGGCTAAACATGAATCCATCTCTTCTCGCGTCACTTCACGACCATCACGAATTCGGGTTTGATACCAAAAAAAGGCTGCTTTCATGGCATTTTCAACTGAACAAGAACCACAAGCCATTGTTTGAACCTCGCTCAAACCTGGTGGAGCGATTGAAAGTAAAGAAGCTCGAAGTCGATCAACTAGATCTTTTGGAGGTAAAATACCAAGAGCAGGTCTATTGATGAAAGCAGAAGTATTTGCTGGATCTCGAAGAGCGTCAATTAAAGCTGGATGATTGTAACCCAATGGAATGGATGATATTTGTGAATAAATGTCCAGGAAAAGATTCCCATCAGCATCACATAAATAATTACCGATAGATGATTCATAGTCAACAAACAATTGTATTGGACTGGCCAACTGAATGGCATTCAGTTCTTTTATCAGCTCAATCGACTTTGGCCCTGGAATAGTTGCTGTTCGTATCAATGGCTCCTTAGGTTCATTGACTATGTCAACATCATTTGTCGCTGTTGCTGTAGCTGTGTGTTTACCTCGGCGAAACAAGTTGACGTAAAGGTTTCCATCACAGTTTGTGGCACGTTTAGCTGCAGCAGCAAATACATTGAGGTTACTTAAACGAACCATTGAACTGGCTTTATAATGACCAGTTTAATTATACGTTGCTTTTTATCCGTATTAGATTTATATTATCAAAGGAAATCTGGTAAAATGGAGTGATATTGAGACAGAGAACAATAATAAAACAAATATAGAGTAAAGATTATAAAGAGGATATGTCAACAGATTTCATTTCGTGATGTTTTCAGTGTAATAAACCATTTTCTTGTATTCTTTACTATCTTGATACACATTCATTGCTCTGTCTACCTTCTTTCTTGTTGATGAATCGCAAAGATTTTGTTGATAAAGGAGATTACGTTTTGCTGTGACTGACAAGGGGCCCTCTATCATTTCGGGAATGCTCAATGATGAGCAAAACTAAATTGAATCATTAGCAACTATTATTCTTGAACTAATCCAATGATACTTTGAATTTGAACACTTTTCTTCGCCTTGGACTCTGTTTCTCTATTGGTTATTAGAATAGCAATCGTCTAATTGATTGCCCGACAATTAAAATGAATTGCCATCTCATTTGATTACATTAAAAATTTAGATTTGTTTGTAATCCTTTAGTAATTGTAAGATTTTATTTACCTTGAAACAACAATTTTGTAAGCAATCAACTTTCCCTCTCACCCCTTTACACATCTTTCTTTCTTAAAACTGTCATTAGATAGCGACACTTAGATTTGCAAATAAACAACAAATAATTTGATGATTCAAGTCTTTCAGTTCAATTTAGATAAATATTGAATAAAACTAATTATATTTGTATTTGTAAATTATAAGTTTTAATTATGTGTTTTGATATTTAAAGATATTTACTTCTGAAAAACTACTATATTGTATTAAAGTATCTATCCATTTGTTTTGTTATCACAAGACAAGCTTTTGTTGGTAAAATCTTTTGAGAAATGTAAGTATTTTTTTGTCTCAAGATTTACTGTCACTTAATTATCAGAGTAATTTAGTCAAGTTTACCCTTTATAAAATGGCATCAATACTGCTCAATTTTTTTAGCTTTGAAATCAATTTATAGTAAGAAACTAAAGGCTTAGTGTTTCAACCATATTTTACCTGACTTTATTGAACCTCAAGTACATTCACCTGTTTAATTTTTGCTCACTCAGTTCTGACAATAAATTCAATGTCAACTGATTATTATTTTATATAATTCTGTTATCTCTATCTAATTGTTTCTGCTATAAAGCACCCATTCTAATAATTATTTCCTTTGTTTCTTTTTTCTTAAGGACCTGATAAACCATTATTAACCAGTAAACTTCTTAAAAGTAAGCAAAATGGATAGGGTAAATGAGCCTCTCGATGAGCCTCTTGGACAAGATTATTTTTACATCGATGATCAGGGAAACAAAGTTTATGTAAATACAGATGATATTGATGATCTTGAAAACGGGGATGAACTTTTATTATACTATGCTCGAAATGGTGAACTTACAATGGTTAAAAAGCTTCTTCAATCGAGAGAAGAAGATCTAATTGATTTAGACATTAACTGTAAAGGAAAAAAGAAAAATAATCATGGTTGGACACCGCTTCATCTTTCCTGCTACTTTGGCCATTACGAGGTTGTCAAAATTTTGCTTGAAAACAAAGCATCAGTCAATGTAATGAACGATTCAGGTGATACGCCGCTTCACAAAGCGTCTTATGTAGGACGGTTGGATATTGTTACTCTATTACTAGCCCATGATGCTGACGTGTTCACCAAAAACGCCGAAGGTAAAACTCCAAAAGATATTTGTCAAGATAATGAAATACTTGAAGCATTGATAGCAGCAGAATGCAATGATATGAAAAGAAAGGAAGCACAGTTTTTGAGAGCAGCAAGAGACGGTGATCTGCCAACAGTAAAAGAGTTATTGAATGATCTAAATCCAGTTAATGTGAATTGTAAAGACTTGGCTGGTAATACAGCTTTACATTGGGCTTCATATCGTAACCATAAAGAGATTGTCGTTTACCTTTTGCAAAATGGTACAGATCCAAATATAAGAAATAACAGTGATCGAGTTGCTGCATCATTGGCTTCATCGGTTCACATCAAGCAGCTATTGTTAAATATTCAACCGGTAACCTTTAATATGAATATCAAGACTCTGGCAAAATGCATGATTAATCGTTTTGAAGGACCTTTACTGCGTCGCGGTAAATTTCTAGTTCGTAAAAATGTTTGGGCTGTATTGGAACGAGGAGTGTTATCTTTCTTTTCCAACCTTGCTGATGCCAGTACTGGTGTCAAGAGAAGAGGTTACAAGTATTTGGAAGCGGCTGTGATTAAACCCAATCCTAAAGATGAAGTCAGTTTTACTATTTTTTTTCCTGATAACACTCAAACAGTTCTCGCAGTTCCTATTTCTTCAAGTCCCCTTTCCAATAGTCAATTAGACCGTCAAAAGTGGATAAATGCTATTACTGACCATATCGATTATTCTACTAAATTCTTGAAAGACGGTGTCCGAGTTGACGATGATGAAGAAGATGAATTACGAGAGCTTCTGACTGCTCAATCTTTGCAACCTCACATAAGCAGTGCCCAAGCTCATCTCGGAATCTTACAGAAACATATTAAAGCTTTGATGCAAGTTGTTGAAGAAGATATGGCATTTCTCAGAATCGACAGCGATAAAGCTCAAGCAGAAGCATCATCTTCCAGAGGTTTAGGAGCTTACTTTTATGGAGGTGCAACTTCAAATCCAAGCCCTTCCTCATCTAGAGAATTATATCAAGAATGGAAAAATTATTGGCCAACATTGAAATTTCATTTAGGGATAATCATGGAATCTGGAAATCACACAAGCTCATCTTTAGCTGAATGTGTTGGCTTATTGGCTAAGCAAGACCAACTTAGACAATTGATTGCTAAACGAAATCAAGAAAAGATCCGTGTTCTTGAGGAATCACTTCGTGTTTTGGCTAAAAAACATCACGAGTTTGAGCATTCACTGATTCAGTCCACAGTGGCTCAAGGATCTCGATTAACATCTTCAGAAATTGACGCTGACGAATATTACGATGCTTTCGGTGAAGATGATGATCTTTCAATAATCGAACATACAACCAACACTTCAGTCGCTAGTGATTCCAGTTCTGTCCAGAAATCAAGTGAAAATGGTGATACCATTGAAGAACCTAAACAATTTTTACCAGCATCAGATAAACCTTTACAAGATCTCAGTAAACGTCCCACCGAGTTGTCCAAAAAAGAAACCAATGAAGAGGAAAATTCATCTTTAAACGGTCCAACCACCCCATTATTAGAAACTTCATCAACTGAATCACCGATAACAGATATAGCAAAGTTTTTACCACCCATACCATCATCATCATCAGTGATAGCCAATCAAACCGTTGACGATGTTCAGCAATAAAGTGATGTTCGTAGACTGATGGAATGCTAGCACGGGATATTTGAGAACAAACGAACTTTCACGAGTGATAAACCAAGGAACAAAAAAGGCTACCATGAAATATAACAAAAACATGAAAAGCTCAAAATCTATCTATACATGAAAAATGCAAATAAATTTTTATTTTAGTAAATATTTTATTCATAAAACGTTTACCCGAATTTATTTCAAGTGTTTTTTTGGAGTAGCCTCAGATAATTCAGTATCGCGATAATTATTAATGTTATAGACTAAAGCAGTAAATTGTTAACTCTGCACAACCGTTGAAAGGATTGATTTGTCATTATTGGAACCTCTATCTCAGCAAATTTTATGCTTTAGACAAATTAGCCTAACCTTAGCTTAGTGAAATTCAGCTTTTGTAAATACACTTTGTATTCCCTTTATTTACTCATCTCAGGTTAATTCATCCAAATTATGTACATTTGTATATTTGATGAACAGATTGTTCTGACTTCAATCCAAAGTCATACTAAAAACAAATTTGCTTCAAATAATTATCAGAGCAAACTGTTCACAACAATATTACAATAATATCCAAAAGCTGGTTAAAAGCTATGGAAATTGTCTATTAATTTTATGTGCCAAAAGCAAATTGAGTAATTAACCGATTAATGAATATTTGCTGGTAAACTTGCGGTTATTAAATTTGCTAACAAAAAGAGGGAATTCAATTTATTAGCTAAGATTATAGATAATGACTAATGACTGATATACCGAAATAATATATTAATAATGAAATATAATTAGATAATTTATATTGGGTTAGTTTTTCGCGTTTTGAACAGAACCTTAAATAAAGTGGTTTTCAAATAAAAAATGCGACTAATTTTAATTTATTGAAATATTTAAGTTGGGCCAAACTGATTCCCTTTAAATCACCAACCAAACTTAATTTTTTAGGAGTGAATCCTTAGTAATGACTCCTTAAAGTCAGGGAAATGCTGGGCAATGAATTCAGGTTTAGCGAATTCATAATGAACAACTTTTTTACAAAATCCTGTGAATGGTCTGATATTGACGTTGTACTTGATCGATGAACGAATTGCTCTGAAGAAGAAAACAAAATTGAATTATGAATATGTCGATAAATTTGCGATTAAATTTATGATATTAGCACAATGAGCATTTCAGTCCCTTGCGGAACCAAATTAGCTAGGGTCAACCATTTACCCAAATACTGTTTAATAAGAAATTTTAACTATTCCTTACTTTAACTTACGATATTTGATTCAAAATATTGAATCTGTACAGCTTTGATTGGACAGGGTTCATCGGTCAATTTGGACTGCCAACTTAAGAGAAGATTCTGTTATTATTATTTCTCAGTAATTGTTGGCTTCCATTTAAAAACGTGAAACTGTAATTGTTGCAATAATTAGAATGATGGGTAAATCCAAGTCAACTCCAAGCAATAAAGAATTAGAATCCAGATTCACTCAAATCCTGTTGAAAATTGAATCATCCTCATCTCGTGAATTGAAAAGTATCAAGAGATTGCAAATAAACAGAAGATTTTATAAGAATCTTGGAGAAGTTGATCTCAATTTGATACAATATTTAACCGTTTTTCCTCATATCAAAAACAATGCATTGTTAATCAAAACTGATTCAAGACACCATTGAGCTTGAATTTACTGAACCTAAATTGGCTGATAGAGATGTCAACCAGACAGACTTCATTTTGACTGGTTAATCCTAAATTGCATTCCCTTTCAGGTTAACTCTTCTAGTTTACCTTAAACCAACCTCAGGGAATCGTCTAGTTTTTTTTGTCCATTTTATTAGATTGATTAAATGGCCATTTGATATTCATATAGAACTGGCTCTCACTCGCTTAAAAAGAGAAAGTACCAAACGATTTCTAATATATCGAAATGAAAGAGTGCAAAGATCGTCTCGAGAAAAGAAAGTAAACCCAAAGATTTTTGCATCTTAAATTAGTTACTTCGATACTTTTGTCCTGATTATTATAACATTTTTGCGGATTGAAACTAATATATCGATGCTAAACATCTTGAAAGAAGCAACTCAATACTGCAACAAATAATTTAACAAACAAGTAGAATCACAATGTTTTGACAATTTTGACTATTAATAAATTAACAAGTCAATGGAATATAACTCCGTCAATCAGCAGCATCAATCTTGGTTTGCAAACTTATAAACTTATAAACAACTTGATGATGAATATTATTTGAAATGCATTGATCTGGCTTGTCTGTTTTATTTTATCCTGGTTTCTCATTCAAACGACGATTTGATAAGTATCTAGGCGTCTACCTTGATCGAACATGCAAAACAAAAAAAACATTCGTGTACTTTGAACCGAAAGAACAGTAGCACAAAAAAGAACCTGCGGTAAACTTGCATTACACTGACTTATCGATCATGAACAATACAATGATCTTAACTATCAGAATCATGGTTATCGTGAAAGAGAAAATTGGAACAATCTAAACTATTAGTTAGTTAGTCAATACTAAACAGTCAACCTGTGAATTATTGCAATGAAAATGTACGTTTTTGTGCTTCTTTTAAGTGTTCTTGTGGCTGTTGGACAGTCTACGAAGATTGATGGACCTTGTCCAATCAAGATAAAACAAATTGAAACCTTTGATCCAAACAGAGTAAGTCAATGTAAAGAATAGTGAATATTTTTATGTTAACTGTTCACTTGTTATAAAACAGTATTTGGGTAAATGGTGGGATGTTTATGCCAACTCTTATGGCGTTTGTGGCAGTGGTTATGGATGTCAATTGACTTACTATCGTCTTTACCACGAAGATATTCATGCAATCCCTATCAACTGGTTTACTGGACCAACTTACAGCAATGAATGCTCATTTGTAATCTACCAAACCGATTATGATGTGGATCCTCGTTTATTTTACGATGGAGGTAAGAACTCATTTCAAACAATGTTACGTACAAATGCGTTGCGATTGATTTAAACATATCCTTTTATTTCGAATAGATGACAATAGTATTTACGTTTTAGACACTGATTATGACAGCTATGCAGTTGAAATTGGATGTGCAAATGACGATGGCGTTACCCATGAAGGTTAGTTACTTATTAAATATCTGGTTAACTTCTTATGAGCTAAATTGCAAATCGATTTTTCTTCTTTGCAGAGAGAGTCGTTCTCAGATCGCGAAATATGACGATGCCAGACGAGGTCCGAGATAGATTGGTTAAGAAAGTAGTTGAATATGGATTCGCTAAACCAAATTTGAATGCTCATAACTACACTGGTTGTAAAGACTTCACTCCTACTCATTGAAGGAACAATTTTGATGTTTTGTTCAAAAACTTTTGTATTATTTAACAAAATTGTTTCAATAAATTAGATTAAAAAGCAACAAATTGTCAACCATCGATACAATTAAAGGAAATAAATGCAATAGTAACGATTTTTCAATTCGGAATAAAATTTAAAGCAAAGCCACAAATTTTTATACATTGTTATATTGCAAGTAATTGAATCGAAGTTGCAAATAAGCATCAGTCTCGATTAGCAAAGGCATATTATGAAAAATGCTTGAAATGTATTAGACTTGGCTCGTCTATCTCATTTTATGCTGACTGAAACCTGTCTTTATGTTCTTAGATCGTCGATGGTCGAGTAAATATGAGTTTACATTGATCGATCTAAATTTACGAAGTCATCCGAGCGCGAAGCTCGCTACCACAAAAAAGAACCTGAAGTAAACTTGTATTGTACTGACTTATCGATCCTGAACAATACAATGATCTTAACTATCAGAATTATAGTTATCATAAGAGAAACAGAAATTGGAACAATCTAAACTATTATTAATAGTTAGTTAGTATTAAACAGTTAACTTGCAAATGATTGCAATGAAAATGTATGTTTTTGTGTTTCTTTTAAGCGTTCTTGTGGCTGTTGGACAGTCTGCGAAGATTGATGGACCTTGTCCAATCAAGATCAAACAGATTGAAACTTTTGATTCAAACAGAGTAAGTTGATCTACAGAATCGTCAATATTTTTATGTCAACTGTTTACTTATTACTAAACAGTATTTGGGTAAATGGTGGGATGTTTATGCTGGTTCAAACTCATATGGCAGTTGTGGCAGAGGATCTGGATGCCAATTGACCTATTATCGTCTTTACCACGAAGACACTCATGCAATTCCTATTAACTATTATTACGGACCAACTTACAGCAGTGGATGCTCATTTGTAATCTACCAAACCGATTATGATGTGGATTCTCGTTTGTTTTACGATGCAGGTTAGTATTCAAAGTACTTGATTCAGACCATGTTTAGTTTCAATGCGATACAATTAATTGAAACCTTTTCCTTTTTATGATCAGATGACAATAGTGTTTACGTTCTAGACACTGATTATGACAGTTATTCAGTTGAAATTGGATGTGCTAACGACGATGGTGTTACCCATGAAGGTTAGTTTCATATTATCAAATATTATAATAATAAATATCTGGTTCACTTTTTATAAGCATGCAAATCGATTCTTCTTTTACAGAGAGAGTCATTCTCAGATCAAGAAACATGACGATGCCAGACGAGGTCCGAGATAGATTGGTCAAGAAATTAGTTGATTACGGATTTGCTGAACCAAACTTGGTAGCTCATGACTATACTGGTTGTAAAGACTTCACTCCTACTGATTGAAGCAAAAATTTAAAGTTTTGCCCAAAAAAGTTTGTAGCATTAATTGTTTCAATAAATTAGATTAGAAAGCAACAAATTGTCATGCATCAATACAATTTAAGGAAATATAAGCAATAGAAACGCGCATTTTGAGCAACAAAATAAGATGCAAATTGTATTGGTCCTAAAATCATAAGCCATTCTCACTGTATTCATCAAACGAAATCGCAACGGTATAAGAACGTGATACTTAAGGTTTAAGATCTTTCAGGTCTGAACAGCAATCATGTGTAAATGGTAAACAATTTAAGAGCCTAAAAATTGTTACCAGCATCAGATATCCAGCTTCAGCAGCTCTTTTTTACACAATTGTCAGCATCATTATGCTTCACAATGCATTGAAAGATTGGAACAATTCATGATTTTGATTTGATAATCAAGTTCAATTCAAGTTGAATATGAGTAGTTGGCTGATTCTGATACCAATTTTCATTGTTTACATTGACAATCAAAGCGATTTACACAAACACAATGATATGAATGATCTCAAAATGACTAAGAAAAGCTGAAATTATACTGGATTACCTTTAACCATTATTTGAGTGCTTTTAAGAGAAAAGAAGTAGAAACAGACTTGCACAGTTAGTTAACTTGCGAATTATTGCAATGAAAATGTACGTTTTTGTGTTTCTTTCAACTTATGTTTGTAGCTGTTGAACAGTCTGCAAAGTTTGATGGACCTTGTGCGATCAAGATCACACAGATTCAAACTTTTGACCATCAAAGAGTGAATGGGTGTACAGACTTGTGAATACTTTGATGTTAACTGTTTATTTGTTATTAAACAGTATTCGCGTAATTGGTGAGATACTTATACTAGTTGCATTGGTTGTGGCGGTGTTTCGAGATGTGCATTGACCTAACCTGTTACTATTCTGTTTATCATGCAATCCTTTTCAAAAGTTTTTATTCATTGAGATATTTAAAGTTATTTAGTCCAGTGAAATGCAGCAGTAAAAGCACCGATCTTGCTCAAAAAAGTTTATAAGCTTATGAAATAAGCATTTTAATGAGTGTTCTGTATGAAATGTATTACATGGCATCATATTTTAAGCTGATTGAGATCTGAGTCTCGATTTGTGATTAAGCATAAGTTTAAAGTGATTGATGCAAATAAACCAAAAAAGACATTCGTCCGCTTTTAAACTAAAACTCAATAACACAGAAAAAGAATCTGAATCAAACTTGAATTGCACCGACTTATCACTTGAACAATACAGTAATTTTAACAAATAATGATTATGAGAATCATAGTTATTATAAAAGGAATATAAACTGAAATGATCTCAACTAGTTAATTTACAGTCTTAAAATGTATGTTTTTGTGTTTGTTTTGAGCGTTCTTGTGGCTGTTGGACAATCCGCAAAGATTGATGGACCTTGTCCAATCAAGATCAAACAGATTGAAACCTTTGATCCAAATAGAGTAAGTTGATCTACAGAATAGTGAATACTTTGATTTCAAATGTTTACTTATTACTAAATAGTATTTGGGTAAATGGTGGGATGTTTATGCCAACTCCTATGACGTTTGTTCCAGTGGTTATGGATGTATATTGACCTATTATCGTGATTATGATGAAAAGCTTCATGCAATCGATGTCAACTACTACTTCGGACCAGATTACGCCAACATATGCTCATTCGGAATCTGGCAAACTGATTCTGATGTGGATCCTGGACTGTTTTACGATGGAGGCAAGTACTCAATTAATATCATTGATATCAGAAGACTCTTCTAGCAATGAAGTGCTTGAATTCAAAGGTTTGATTGAAATGGACCACAATTAATTTTCACCATTTCCCTTTATTCTGAATAGATAAAAATAGTATTTACGTTTTAGACACTGACTATGACAGTTATGCAGTTGAAATTGCTTGTATTAATGACGATGGAAGTACCCATGAAGGTGAGTTTATTAAATATCTGGTTCACTTCTTATGAGCTAAATTACATGATTTTTTTTCGCAGAGAGAGTCGTTCTCAGATCACGAAACTTCGTAATGTCAGACGAGGTTCGAGATAAACTGGTCAAGAAAGTAGTTGATTATGGATTCGCTGAACCAAATTTGAATGCTCATAACTTTACTGGTTGCAAAGATTTCACTCCTGACTTTTAAATTGATAATTTTAAAGTGTTGTTCAAAAACTTAATTTCTGTACCATTAAACAAATAATAGTTGAAAAGCCACAAATTGTCAAAGTTGACACAATTAAAATGAATTAATATTATATTGATCTTCAAAATTAAAAATAGTTTGAAAACAATTCACAACCCAAAATTCATTCAAACAACATTGCAAAATCGGATGGAGCAATAAGTTCTTGTATTGTCAAATTTATCTGGTTTTGTCTGCATAAAAAGTCACACTTCGATCACTGTTGGTCAATTCAGACCGGTTCAAATAAGCACAAATTTGCTGAGTCTCAATCTTTTATCCTCGATTGATCTAAAACTATTATATTAAACTTTCGATAACATTAAATTATCATTTCAATTCCATTGTTACAATGAATAACAATCTCATTGCTTCTCAAGTGATCGATTGTTCATTCAAGGCTAGATTCTCAATTAGATTAACACGAATTAAATGAAACAATCAAATTAGAGTAAATTAACAATCAGAATCAAACCACGTGAAAAGATGTTCCAAAAGATTTCAATCTTCCTCAGATTATTCCAGTTTTAGGTTCTTAATCAACAATCTAAAATAAATTGATCCTTTGAATGATTTCAAGTTGAATTAAAATGAACATTTACAATTGAATAAAACACAAAAGTTGAAGTTAATTGAACAAATTGTTTATTTGATTGATTTTTGCTAAAAAACGAAAAGAAGAGAAACAAATTTTCACATTTTCCATCAATTATATTATTCATAAATGATTTATAATACATTTGATAATAACAATATTTATACATTTATGTATGTTTTAATGAACACAAAAAATTAAACTGATGATTAATTGTTGAATTGTAATTTACATTGTTCAATGTTAATTTACAGATCGAGAGAGAGAGAAGAGCAATAAAAGAGCAAAAAGGGAAAAATGAAGTTGAATGCTGATAAACCGAGTCTCATTGTTCATAAATGAAGATTTCAATTCAATTTCAAACACTTTTTTTTCGTTGAAAATGAAAAAGTTATTATTTTGTATTTTGTCAATTCAACTGTTTATCAGTTGTTCAACAGTAAAAAGTAAATGTTTACTCTATTCAAGTTATTCCTGTTCAATAAAAGAGACTCATGTAAATGCAAGATTGACTTTTTTTTCCAGTTTAAACAACATTTTCATCAATTTTAAGTTTTGCACCGTTCGACTTGAAAAGATGAAGATGAAAGATATTAATATGCATATGAACAAGCTTCCATCCTGGAAATCGCAATATTTGTTATTCTTTACTCAATCGATCAACTCGAAGATGAAGGTAAAGAAAAACAATCGATTAATGGTATTTATAAGTTGAACTGACAAACTGATTTTACTTTTGGACAAGAGTTCATGAAATGAGCTAAAATCAACATTTCCAGATTCACTGTTTTACAATTTACTCTGATTCTGTTTGATGAAGTTTCAAACCTTCCCTGTTGATCCATGTTTGTTTCATGTTTTGTGGACGGTTACTTGTTCAATGTTCAATCTCATTTTGGAACCAATTTCGAGATGAAATGAAAATCTTTTGTTATCCAAGAAAACATCCAGAATGAATCGTTTAGAACCAGGAAAATGAAGAATAAGCACCAGAAATAAAAAGCATCAGAAGACGAGAAACACAAAGTCACAACAATTTATTACTTCCATTGGCAGTTCAATATGGCTTGGCATTTCACATGATTTTACATTGATTGTAAGACAATCACAAATGTTTTTCTCGATGAAAATTGGTCCGTAAGGGTCTTTTGAATGATCACTGATCAATCACAAAACACACTTTATTTGGTTAATTGATTGTCCTTTCCGCTGTTTCTTCTTTACTCGTCGATCTTGTTAAGTTGACTTCACCCGTTGATGCATTATTGCCTTCTTCGGCTTCACCTTCCTCATAACCAGCTATCAGCGTTTCAAGAATAAAATGAACAGTAATTTTGTATATATTTTCCATGTTATCTGTATAGCGATCCTCTAAAGTATCCTTAACGGCTGTAAGAAACGGTTTTTCAATTTTCTGGTAAAAAGAGAAGAGAAAAGGAATTAATCAAAAGAAGATGAAAAATTGAATTCAAATGTTGATTCCGTTTACTGACAACTGAGCTCAATGTAATTAATAATTTTACAAGCAATTATCATTCTGTGCAACTCGAGTTTATTAATCAATATGATGAATACAATGACATTTTTCAGGTGAAAAATGCGAGCTTCCAATGAATAAAACTTCCTAATATTGAATTCCATTGAATGTTAACAATTGCATGATGTTTTTTAATTGCAATATGTCCATAAATGTCTATGCTTGCATGGGAAAATTGGAATACTTCTTGGAATATGATTTTGATTCGATAATCAGCAAAATTCGAGTTAAATTTGGATAATTCTGCTTAATTATGATACCAACATGCAAGTTTTCATTGTTTTCATTGTTAGTCGAAACGATTTATCACAATATGTTTTAAAGAATCTCAGAGTTAATAAGAAAAACTAAAAAAGCACTGAATTATCTTTGGGCATTATTCGGTATTTAAATGCTTGTGCGAGACAAGGAGTAGCAACAGACTTTCATAGTTAGTTAAACAGTTGACTTGTGAATTACAATGAGAATGTACGTTTTTGTTTTTCTTTTGTGTGCTCTTGTGGCTGTTGGACAGTCTGCTAAGGTTGATGGACCTTGTCCAATCAAGATCACACAGATTCAAACTTTTGACCATCAAAGAGTAAGTTGATGTACAGAATAGTGTATTTTGATTTTAAATGTTTGCTTGTTACTAAACAGTATTTGGGTGGATGGTATGATGTTTATACTGGTTCCAACTCGTATGTGAGGGATTGTGGCAGTGATTCGGGATGTCAAGCGACCTACTATCGTGCGTATGATGATGATACTCATTCATTCTACCTCAACTATTATTTCGGATCGGATTACACGGGTTTATGCTCATTCCCAATCTACACAACTGATACTGATGTTGATGCTCGTCTGTTTTACGATACAGGTAATCATTTGTACTTGCCTCTTCTTTTAGCATCCATTTAATCGAAACTTTTTCGTCTATTCTGAATAGATTTCACTAGTCTGTACATTTTAGACACTGATTATGACAGTTATGCAGTTGAAGTTGGATGTTCCAATGACGATGGTCTTACCCATGAAGGTGAGTTCTTTTATGAAATAATTCACTTGTGAGCTAAATTATACGTAAATTGATCATTTCTTCCGGCAGAGAGAGTCTTTATAAGATCACGAAATACGACTATTTCAGACGAGTTACGAGATCAATTGGTCGAGAAGGTAGTTGATTTTGGATTTGCTGAACCAGATTTGATCGCTCATAACTTTACTGGCTGCCCAGATTGGCATCCAGGCTTTTGGCATAAAGATTGACATTATATAAATTAACAATTTTAAAATGTTATTCAAAAATGGTTTTTATATTATTCAACACAATTTTTCAATAAATTAGAATCGAAAAAAACAAATTGTCATGCATTTAAGTGATTTGATCGACTTTAATACAACAATTAGAGTATTGATCTTGCTTAGCAAAGTTTATCGTACTACATTCAATTGTTGTTCATCGATTTTCAGAATGAACAATTAAGTAGAAGCACAATCGGATCGGCTAAATTAACAAGTCAATTCGGTTACTTCTCTAACGAAAGTCGTTCTTCAAACAATCTATGAGCTCAAAAGCAGTTGTTAATTTAGAATTGAATTGATGAAATGTAACATGATTTGAATCAAAGCCACAAACTTCTCCGATACTGTACCAATGAAATACTTAATATTTAAGACAAAATTCAGACCATTGGTATGCAACTCGAGTTTATTGCAAACAATTACAATTCATAGCTCAAAAAAGTGATCTTCCAATGAATAAAACTTAATCTTAATATTGAATTCGATTCGATGTTAACAATTGAATGATATTTTTTAATCGCAATATAAATGAAGTTGACCTAATTTGCATTGCAATTTAGTGACTTGAAGAATAAATGCTCGTGAAAGTGTTTATTTTTGTGTTCGTTTCAAGTGTTTGCAGAGCTTTGACTAAACAGATTGAAACTTGGTTCAATTGCGATTCAAAAAGTTTACATAAGAGACAGAATGACTCTTTTACTGTACTTTTGATAGATCACAACATGAATTGACTCTTTAGTTTGATTGCGATTTGTCAGATAAAAAGGTTCGAAGGGCTGCTCATTATGGGTTTCTGATCAATGCTGAATCTGGTTTGCTCGTTTAATAGTGGAAATACAAATGCATCGCAAATTTGAGTTTACATATCAAGTTAAAATGCTGATGCAAAAATGATTTATTCAATTTTTTCAATTGTTATTGAATTTTCTTGCTGTTGCATTGCTCATGTTTACAAATCGTATTCAAGGTTCTATTCAAGAGTTTTATAAGATAACATGAAGGTTGCGGCTCAAATCATAGCGACCAGGAATGAAATGATTGAAATTGTAGGAAATGTAAAAAGATCTAACAAGGGAACCTTGCGAACTGTTAATCGCCGAATTGAATCAAACCTATCTCATCGTGTAGAGCATCATTGATAATGAAAAAGTGAAACGTCGTTTTTCTGCCTAAAGCCTATTCCCGGTACAGTGAGCGATCAAATTTCGAAAAATTCGCCAATATCAATGCAAGTGTGATTTCTGAATCTCTTTTGAATTTCACCAAACATATTTCATCTTGTAGAGCACCTTCGATTATTAAAAAGTGAAACTCAGTTTTTATATATAAATCTTATTTCAAGTGCAAATCATCATCTTCACTACCATTACTACCATTGTGACTCCGTCGAATTTTGATCGCTGATTGCATTAAAAATAAGCTTGAGGCAGAGAAATTGAACTTCACTTTTTCATAATCGAAGGTGCTCTACACGATGAAACATATTTCATGCAATTTGAAAGAAATTCAAAAATCCCTTGCATCAATACAAACGCAATGCAAACGCATCTTTCGCGCTTTGATCGCTCATTGTGCCGGAAATAGGCTTTAGGCAGATAAATCGTGTTTCACTTTTTCATTATCAAAGGTGCTCTACACGATGCGATATGTTTCATTCAATTCGGCGATTAACAGTTCGCAAGGTTCCCTTGTAACTACAAAGATGAATAAGACAAAGAAAGTTTATTTTCAAGAAAATTGGCAAAATAATACAAGTTGAGATAGCTGAGCAAACAAACACTTCGATCGAAGATCAAACTCTTTCTGATCCATCCAAATGCGATCCCTTTATGGTTTCCCTTGAAGATTTTACTGTTTTAGCCTTAAAAATTGTTAAAATGGTTAAAATGTAATAGTAAAAAAGGTCGTACATTGGGAATGGACAGAAAAGTATGAGTAAGATTTGTGGTCGTATGCGTTATCTATGGGTTTTATGTGTGCGAAACACTTTTGACCAGTTTCCTCGCATTTGAACGTTTTTTGTTGTTCATCCTTGTCAAGTATCTCTTCAACTAAACTTTAACTAACTTTGTATTCACAATGCATTGAAAGAGTGGAATAATTCATGATTTTGATTTGATAATCAGTACAATTCGAGTTGAAAATGAGTATTTTGCTAATTCTGAACCTAATTTTTTATTATTCACATTGATAATCAATGCGATTTATAAAACTATCACACTATGATCTTAGTGATTTCATAGTTGAGATAAAACTTGATTCGTACTGAATTACCTTTAATCATTATTTTGATTCAGTATTTAAATGATTGTAAGCTGAAAGAGCTAGAATCAGACTTTATAGTTAGTCAAAGAGTCAACTTGTGAGTTATCGCAATGAAAATTTACGTTTCTGTGTTTGTTTTAAGTGTTCTTGTGGCTGTTGGACAGTGTACGAAGATTGATGGACCTTGTCCAATCAAGATAAAACAGATTGAAACCTTTGACGTTAATAGAGTAAGTCGATGTAAAGAATAGTGAATATTTTGATTTCAAATGTTTAATTATTACTAAATAGTATTTGGGTAAATGGTGGGATGTTTATGCTGGTTCAAACTCATATGGCAGTTGTGGTAGTGGTTATGGATGTATATTGACCTACTATCGTCTTTACCACGAAGACACTCATGCAATTCCTATCAACTATTTTTCTGGACCAGATTACGCCAACATATGCTCAGTTGGAATCTGGCAAACTGATTATGATGTGGATGGTCGCTTGTTTTACGATGGAGGTAAGTACTCATCTCATGCCATCCGTTCTAGCAATAAAGTACTTTAATCGAGGATTTGATTAAAAGGGCCACAATTTGATTTCGTTATTTTCCTTTATTTTATAGATGACAATAGTATTTACGTTTTAGACACTGATTATGACAGTTATGCAGTCGAAATTGCTTGTTCTAATGACGATGGAACTACCCATGAAGGTGAGTTTGTACATTAAATATCTAGTTGACTTCTTATGAACTAAATTACATGTAATTCAAACCTGATTTTTACAGAGAAAGTCGTTTTTAGATCAAGAAACATGACGATGTCAGCCGAGGTTCGAGATAAACTGGTTAAGAAAGTAGTTGATTATGGATTTGCTGAACCAGAGTTGGTTGCTCATAACTTTACTGGTTGTAAAGATTTCGATCCTGATTTTTGGCACAAACATTGACATTATATTGTTTGACAATAGTGATTGTTGTTCAAAAGATCAGATTAATTATTTAAATTAATGTTTAAATATTTCAACTGCACGATCCGATTTAATTTTTTCATTGGCAATAAAATTTATTATAAGCAAAAAATTGACATATAATACATTGTCGTTTTTAAAGTGATTTTGATCGATTTGCGTATAACAGTAAAAGCACTGATCTTGATCAGCTTTTCGTATTGCATTTAATTGTATCGACATTTCATAGCCAAATTATTTTCATCAAAAACAATCAAGTAGAATCAATATTGGATTGACTAAATTAACAAGTTAATTCGTTTCCTTCTGAACTGAAAGTCGTTCTTCAAACAACTTCCAAGCTCAAAAGATTATTGATTATGGATTTGATGAGCCACCACAAACGATTACTCAATATTTTACTGAATGTACGGATTATGATCTTTAGTAAATTCATCAAGTTAAATTGAATCACAAGAATCAATTTCCATCTTAGCTTACTCTGGAGTTACAATTACAGTTCATCCATTTCTCTTTTTCCCACAAAACAGTTGTTCATTTAGAACTGAATCGATGAAATGTATCTGATAATTTGATCCAAATTAAAGCCACAAAAATCATTCTTCGATACTGATGAACTATTTAATATTTGAGACAAAATTGAGACCAAGTTAACAACAACCACAACAAATGTACCAAACTCAATCCAATCAATAGTTATTTTCTCGCCTCTCTTGAAAGACCAGAAATTATCTAAATCTTTTGCAATATTAATACATCGATCAAGATTCTGAATAAACTATTGAAGGCATCATAATGAAAGCCAATCAAAATGTTGATTAACAAAATTGCTCAATCAATGTTAGCCTGAACCAAAGATTCTGACATGACATGATTACTCAATTTTCATAGCTTTTGTTGAATGCATACGATCAACTAAACAACATCAATAGAGGTTTAATGTTTCTGGGCATTTTCAGTTAACATAACAAACTGGTTCAACTGATGATAAACCACTTGATGAGATTTACAGTAAAATTTGGTGTAAATTGTTATTACCAGAAAAAGAGAGAAATGAAAACATTTTCATCACTTTTATCGTCATCTTTTCTTGTCATCCAAAAATTTTGATAATGGTCTAATAATAGTAAAAAAAACTCGATTTTGTCAGCAAAACAAAACATAAACTGATGCATTTGAAGGCAACAAAAAGATGATTAACTAAACTCCTACACAAGTGACGATTAAACCTCTTGTAAGCCAAGTAGATGCAGGTGATGGCCAATGCAAACATTCAAATCAAAATCATATTCAATCTTTTGACACAAAAAGAGATGAAATTGAATGAAAATTTTCTGCTCAAACTCAAGTGAAACGAAAAGAACAGAAAAATTTTGCCAAAATTTTCTATCAAAACATTTCCTAATTTCATCATTCAACATTGTCAGTGAATTGAGGTTAAATTTGAATTAAAAGGTGAAAAGTGAAATTGAATTAAACCAATAACCAAAGACAGTTGCTGTTGCTCAGGGAGTTTCACAGGGAGTAAAGTTCTGGGTTTCAAGATGTTTCACTTTCACCTTCAATTGAAACAAAAGTCAACTTATCTCCATATGCATTGGTATTACATTCAATTTGCAAGAGTTAACCTGTAAATACATTTAACAGTGAGAAACAAAAGGTTGAAGGAAAAAGCGTTTTTGCCTCTTTTCATCATCTTCTCAGCACTCAATCTTGGTTTGCTTTTCATCCTTTCTCTTCATTCCATTTAATAGAAGATAAAATAACGCTGAATAATATGATTTTCCTGTTCATTGAGTCTCATGCTATTCTCATCAATGCTCCATCTTCCTTCACTTGATAACAAATATAAATAACAGTCAATACCAGCTCAATTCCTAATTCCGTTTGGGTTCATCTTATTCCAATCATCAGCTCATCTTTACCCTTTAAAATGAAATATGTTTCAAGAAGAAGATGAAGAAGAAGAAGAAGAAGAAGAAATCTCTTTCATAACCATCAACCTTGATTAGTTTACAAACTTGAATTGAACTTTTCTCTTCACCTTTTTTTCATTCTTCCATTCAATTTTTATTCTGATAATGTTTCCATTGGGATCATGTTGGAAGCAATTATTTCAATCATTGTTTGCCTCCATTTTCATCTGTTAACATTTTACACCGAAAAATGTTTCCATGTTTATGACAGTTGAACAAATGTTAACTTGTTTATCATTTCAAGAAGAACTCGATTTAGAAAAAAAAGAAAAGTGGAAAATTTAAATAAAATTTAAACTCCAAGTAACGTTAATTTCCTCACAATTTACCTTTTCTCATCTTCCTCTTTCCAAGTCAACTGTTTACCTTAACACGCTACCTTTTCATTCAACATTTCATCTTTGCTCCTTTATCAGTATTCTATTATTCAAACATTCATCATGCAATAAAATTGAAAAAGTAAATGTTACAACTCGAAGTTGGAGGGGAAAAAAGTTGAATCAAATTGCAAAGTTATCTGATATTGTGTCAAGAGCAAAGAGCATTTTAAAGGCATGACTTGCTTTGGTTAACATGGACCAGTTTTGGTCAGATAAATACATGGATATTAGTTGTCCAAAGTTGGAGGTGCAAAGGTTTCAACATTTTTCCTTTTCTTCTGCTTTCGAGTCAAAGTAATCTGATTATTGTTCACCTTGTAACTTATCAATTATTTAATCACAAATGAAAATAATAGTTGACATTTTAGTTGGAAGCAAGTCCAGTTTTTAAAGTTGAGTAAAATTGAGTTGCATGTGAAAAGTCAATGTTTCAAGTTTCAAGGTAAACTCAATATCTCAGCTGATCCCATGGTGACTCTGGTTTCATCATTTGCACAATTTATTATCAATTAATCAATGAGTGTTTCACTTAATCCATTAAATGTTAGAATCTTTCTCAAGATTTAAAAGGTTAAATCAATGTGTCTATCAAAATGAAAAGTTAATTAGCTGTCACAAAAAGACATTCAACTTTAAACCTTTTACATGTTGTTAAACTATTAAAATGAAATATGAAATATTCAAATGACTTTAAAACTGATTAAAAACGGTTAGATGAAACAGTTTCAAAAGACAGAACATTTTCATCAAACTCTTCGATGGATGAACATTTTTCAACCATCGAGCTTTACCGGTTCAGTCAAGTCATTATGGTTCGAGTTGATTTCAATTGAAAAATGTTTTATTTGCATGGAAGAAAAGATAACGAATAAAAATAAGTTAAAATTGAAATTTTCTTCTCTTCTTAAATATCCAAACTAGAAAGTGATAATTTCATGAAAGTCAAACTGAAATTGCTCAGAGCAATGAACAGAGTTGAGGAGAGATGATCATCCTTCAACGATAATCATTAGCAAATATCATCTTATTCATTCCATTAACTTATTTTGGTTATTCTTTCAATGATATTTTTCTTATTATCCAATAGTATTGGACAAACCAAATGCCTTCTTGTGTTCACAGGCAGCTCAGATGAACAACATTGGAGATAAAGTTGATCACCATTGAAATCCTGTTTGTTGGATTGAAAATTGATTCTTCATCAGGTTTCCCTGATTTTTTGTCCAAACTAACTGTTAGTTGAAAGATTGTTTAAATTCAATTGGAATCTTTGACATTGAGTTTAGATTGGTGACAAAATGAAGAAATTTTCGGTCCAATGTTTTGTGACACTCTGTATTATCATATTTATTCATTCTTTCATCAGATAACTCTTTTTCAACCAACATCATTGTCACCCTCATTACCATCATCTTCATTGCCATCATCATAATTATCATCAATGACAATGCCTAAGAGTGTTGAGGAAAAGATGATGAAAATTGTACAAAAAATTGATTTCAAGATGATGGCAAACTTGGATGGAATTGAGAAGAAAGAGAAGAAAAGGAAGGAAAAAAAGATTCTTCTCTCAGTTGATTCGCCAACAAGCTGAATTCATGATGGTGAATGAAACTAGTAAATGATTATCGATTAGAATTTTATTCAATAAGTCTTTGCTTATACTCTCGACCCTAATAGCATTATTTATTAACGAGAGAAGCTTTCTTTAGATGAATAGTAATCAATTTTTAGGACACAATTAGATGATTTTATTTTTCCCTTTTCTTGTGTGTACCAATAATCTAATAATGATTTTGTAATAAAGAAATGATGAAAGATGATTTACATTTGCATTGAAAGAGAAAGATAATTATCATTCTGAATCACTAATTGTGTTAATCAGAGTTTCAACTGCAAATAAGATTAAAGGTTGCCCTTGTGACACTTGGAGGTGAAAAATTTACCTTTTATGGATCACTGCCTTTGCATCAATTTCCTTTCCTCTCTTACTCAACTTTTATTAATTGCTTTAGACACCTATGCATATCATTTGATAGCGTAATCAAGAGCTAATAAGCTTAAATTAAATTTCAATCAACCAATAGTTGATTTGCATTTGTGATGAGATGAATACGGGAAGAGTAAGGAAAAAAATATCTCAAGACAGAATGAAATATATTAGCAATAATATTTAGCAATACGAAATTCCATGTAAAAAGTGAAAAACATTTGCTGAAAATCGGCGTTTTTGAAAGCGGCATCAAACGACCTAATGGAACTTTAAATGCAAGGATACGCATCCTAATTAACTTCAATTGTTTCTATTTTTTTGTATCCTCAAGTAAACTTCATTGAATTTTAGTTCGATTGAGAGTCAACCAGTCCTGAATGAACCAGTCGTGAACAACCTCTGGTTGTTGCTACTGATGATTATATTGACGGTGAAGAAGTTGATGGTGGTAGAGCTTTGGTAGAAAGTGTTCAGTCTAACGTTTCATCACTCCAGAGTCAAGATGCCGATTTTGTAAATAAAGGTTTTCCAGGCAAAATCGTTTAATCAAACAGAATCAGCAGAAGAATTCGGACATCAGATCAGGTGAGGTAGCCCACTGAATTTAAACATATATTTTTTTGAGCAAGCAGTGGCTATTAACAGTACAGTTTGTTTTCTTGTTAGGTGTACGAATAGTTTGTTCAGTTTCTTAAAGTTCACAGTTCTCAATCATACCCTTATTTTATAATTTTATACTAATTATATTACATAATATCGACTAATAATAATATTCAACATCTTTCTTTAAATATTCTTTGGTTCAGACTAGCAAATTTTTCATGGTCTTTTAGATAAGCCTGCATTCTTACAGAGATTTTTATAAACTTGTAAAATCGTTATCAACAAAATTCTTGGAATTGAACGAGAGTTAGATAAATGTACTTGAATAATTTTTTGATAATGAAACAATCAAAAGGATTCTATTGCAGTGCATTTCCGAGAAATTCAGTTAATGACATTTGGAAAAGTTATCACGTCATCGAACTTCATTTCAGATGAAATAGACATTTAGACTGTTCTCTCATCTGAATTGTAATGAATAAATCAATAAGTTACTATGCTCATCAGGCAACTTGTTTATTTCAGTATAACTTTACTATTAATACAATGTTTCAAGACTAGTTATCAATGATAAACTTCTGAATGAAATTCAATCCTTTCCTTTAACTGAAATGATACAGAAAAAGTTCTTAAATTTCAATCTTTCATAACTTGAACAATGAAAGATGCAATTAAATGTTTTGAAAGAGCATTAAAAACTCATGAGTCAACAATATTCGACATTTCATTCAATAAAGATAATCAAGTTGCGGAAAACATTGACAATGAAACATGAATTAATTGAAAAAAGCAAATTAATTTCGTTACAATGATAATAGATTTTGATTAATCGAATAAAGCTGAGACTAATCGAATCAATGGACATTTATTTTGCTGGAAAATTATTGAATGATAATATTGTGTCTGATGACAATAAGTGATGTGATAATATTTATGATCAAACAATTGTAATAAATTGTTGATTTTGTTGGACTAAGAAAGTGTAAAAGACATTTGATTGACAAAGAAAATCAATTGGCCCATCAATCAGATAGATTGAAATGGAACATTGATTTTTTTTCGATTTAGCCTTTTCGTCTTGTTATTCATCAAGCTGTATGCATGATAATATCATTGTCATCAACATTATTGTCCAACAATGAAAAACAAAAAAAAAGACAAAATCAATTGGCATAATAGATTCAACTGGTAGTGAAAAAGGAAGGGAAAATCAGCTGGATACGGAAATGAAGGAAAAAAGCTTGTCATATATTTACATGATAATGTGACTGGGAAGGAAAGTTCATTTGATTTAATCTTATCATTGTCATAATGTTTTTAGATTTTTCTTTGTTGACATTTCGTTTCATTGTCTGATGAATCAATTTTATTTCGTTGGCTTTCATAATGAAATGAACGATTTGATAAATCAAATTCGAGGATCAAAATCTTGACGATCGTTTTCACCTGTTTTAACCTTGCTGATTTCAGAGTTTTGTGTAATTTTTAAGAAAAAGATAATCGATCGTGGATGAAAAGTAACGAGTTTTGGTTAAAAAATAAGAACACAATGTGGAACTGAAGACTTTTTTCGATGAAGTGCAACTTAAGGCTAAGCAGAATGACTGTCCATCACAAGTTGAAGCTATCTTCGTTGATGGAGTTATTCACGATAAGAATAAGATGAAATTCTTTTCATCTCGTAAGACGCATTTAAAGATATTTTCAGATCAAAGCTAACAAATGTACAGTAAAGCTTGTAAGCTAATGACCATTTTATTAGACTTGGAGATGACTCACTTTTTTGAAGCCATTCCCATCTTCTTAAAATAATCCATGAATATATGGTGACCTTAGTTTTTACTGAAACTCGTTTGACTCCAAGTTTTTTATTCAAAATTAATGGTCATTTCAGCTAATTTATATGATTTTTCGGCTATTGCTCGCCACTGAGATGACTTAGTGTCCGAAAATATTTATGAAAATTTTGCAGATATTTATTTACAATATTTTGCGGTCACGGTCATCCAAGGGCATTTTGCGGAAATACCTTTTGATGATATTAGAAATCATATTAAGATCATTTATCCTTTTTGAAATGAAAAATTGCACGAAAAGCTTAGCCGATATTGTAATGCATTCACCTGGTCAAATCTTCCACCCTTCACATTTGGCGCAGTCTTCCGTGGTCTTACCTGTCTCTGGCTAAAACTGTCGCTGGCTCAACCTGTCACTGGCTAAACCTACAAACAATATACAAGCTATAATCAACGAACACCAGATAGCCTTTGTTAATGTTCACCGAAGTCCAACAACTACAGATAGCAGGTGATTTTGGCTGATCTCAAAACAACGTTAGCTAGACTTTTTAGCAGTGGTAAAGACAAGCATTGGTCATCGGCCGGCTATGGCTCTGATTTTGGCCGGTGATTTCAATGCCGATATCTCTCGCATTGGAACTCGGCGGCAGACTGATGAGGATTTGTTATTGGATTAGCTATGCACGAGTTTTAAGTTAATGTCAACTGAAACAAAGCCCACTGTATCGCATTTTTCAGCAACAACATGCTCAAACATTGATTATATTTTTGCGACTAAGATTATTTTGTTGAAAAAAAACTTCGATGAATTGAAAAGCGCTGGTTCGGACCATTATCCAGTGTTTTGGAAGTAGTTTAACTTCCGCCCTTCACATTTGGCGCAGTCCTGCCTTGGTCTTACCTGTCTCTGGCTTTCTCTTTCGGCCTTTTCTGCATGGATTTTTTAATCTTTCTTTCTTTCTTGATGACTCACTCTCTAAAAAACGATTGTATACAAGACAATTTTTCTAAATAAATCATGTTCTCTTAGACATCAAAGTCATTAAAGTCTCATCTTTTATCGAATTTTAAAGCCTTACCAATATTGCGAAGCCTTCGCCCCGTCAACACTTCCAGCTCTTAACACTGTAAGAGTTTCATACCTATATGAAAACTCGCAAAGTGATTGCCGGATCATTACCAAATCATGTTCATATACAGGGCTATTCAGCCGTTTTTTCTAATAATTGCACGGCATACTTTTGAAAACTAAGGAAAATTGTTCCAAAGTTGCAAGGTCATTAAAGGTCACTCGTTTATTTGACCTTCAATCAACTTCCGAGGGTCATATTAGACTTGCGCAAACTTTCATCGCTTTGATTACATCTTTGTACCATGCTAACACAGTTGCTACACAAGTTTCTCGCAAATTTTACTTCTGGTGAAAATGCTTCTAGAACGATAATTTCATATCAGTTGTTTGTCATAATTTGCATAAATTAACTTATAGCGTTGAAATTTTCGCTGGATGCCAGGTCTTCAATAGAGATCCTTTGAAGGTCATTGCAAACTTTCCAGCTCTTTTCGTCACTCCTACAAAGATTCATTTTGTGACTCTTTGAATTTTAAATGACCTCTGAAGGTCGAGCTCGAAATTTTGGAAAAGACCTTGGACGCCTTAAAAATTTGAACAGTTCATATTCGTATTGTCATGTTTTCACATACTAGCAATCAAACTCAATATATCTCTCCGTTCATTAGTTATGCGACCCACAAGAATTAGTTTTTCAAAATAAAATATAATGAATTATAATCTTCACTTTGCTTTGCGAATCAAAGCTCATTTGTCCATCATGATATTAGCTTGATTGGCAGTCAGACATTTACAGTGAAATTGAACACGATAAGTGATAAAGTTTAAAGTGAAAAAAGTAATTCTTATTCGAGAGGAGAACAAGTTGAAACGATGAAAAGTTTCTTTTGGAGGAAGAGATGCATCAGGTAATCTTTTCAGCCTCACCACTCAAGTAAAGTTACTTTGTCTTAAGTCTTGAAATTGATCAATGAACCTTAAACTTGCAGAACAGGCTTCGCCAAACCCTGCGTATTTTGACCTACTAGACTCACAACAAAAGGAAAGACATTGAAATACTCATTGAAATAAATAATTATTAGATTAGTGCTGCACTAAAAGTCAAGATTAGTTTGTCAAGCAAGAATTGACTAAAGATTCGTTTTTTACTCCCAGAGTTGAGACAATAACAAAATAATGAAAACCCAAAAAGATATACGTCTAGTTAGTCTAGATAATCCTCGTTTACGTTTAGACAATGAAATGATTGATTGCAATTCGCCCGAAAATCATGCTGTTCTTGACTTAATTCTTGATCCAATTACAGCACAATGGACCAAGTTATTAGTAAACAATATTTCACTAACAAAAAAGCTCTCTATTCAATAGTCTCATGGCGAAACAATTTACTGTAAGATGCTCTGGGATGTTGATTAAGCATGAAACAATTGAGACAATTAAAATGCAATTTTTATCAATTTCAATCCATCAAATGGTTCATTAATATGTTGAAGAAAATTGTCAAAATGACAGTTAAAAGCTGTGCAACATGGAAGCAGAAAAAATGGAAAAATTGAAAAACTTGAAAATATCGAGATTAATCAGTTAAATTGTTTTGAAAAGTAAAGTGAAAAATAATCAAAGTAATGTTTCATTGTTTGATAAACTCATCAATCTTGTTTCAAACTTTTATACTCCCTTTACTTGACACCATTGTATTAACTAATAATCTAATTGAATTGGACATTGATCATTGTAATCATCATATTGATAGGTATTGATGTTGAGCCAAATGTTGAAGAGCAACTATTATTAGCCTGTTCAGTGAATCGTAAAATGGCATTTTACATTTTGATTTATATTGAATCACAAAGCTCAGTTTAATGTAAAATGAATAATAATTTTTATTCAAAGTTGAAGGTTTAATGATGATGAGAATGTTCATCAACTTACCCAAAAATAGTCCTTCTTAAAGCCAGGTATTTTACGATGATCACGACCAATTGCGTGTAAATAGTCCATGAAAAAGTCCACTTTATCAAGTGAATTGATACTTTCATCTAAGGTTGTCATTACTTTGGATGCATGTTCAGCGAGTTCCATGCTTTCTCTTTGTGATTCTTTTGTCTTTAATGATTGAAATTTGGTAAATAAATTTAATAATTCGGAATTTTCTTCAAATAATCTGCAAAAGGAAAAAAGAGAAACAAGAGTGAACACAGGGTAAATCAAAGAAAATTATTCATGAAGTTTTTTCCCTTTTGTATCGTATTTCACTGCTTATCCATCAAAAATCATATTTCATTTAAAATGAAATTCATTTTACATGAAAGTTTAGTTGACACAATATTTTACACTTTTGTTTTTGCTCTAACTCTGGTCTTGGTGGAGAGTCCAAGACTTGACCCGAGGAAATTTCACTCAACAAATAATTGAGTTTTTCTGCTATCAGGCAATTGAGTTAGTCAGAATTTTTCTTTGATATTGTTCCATAAATACATTTTAAATTTTTTTGTCTTCACACAAATATTTATCTGAAGTTGATCAAATGTACAAGCATCATGGTCATCATGCATCAAAGTAGAGTTTGAAGAAGAAATGAATTTGCAATATTTTTTTCGATTTCATGTTCCCTTGTAAAATGAAATGAAACTTAAGATCATTTTCATACTTTCATTTCCCAACAAGATTACCTTTCCTCAACCGAGCCTGGTTACGCACTGGGTTAAACTTGAAACCACCAAAGACTTTTATTGCTTCGCATAATCCGATATCATTCATCAGCTTCTTTTGAATAATTATTAATATCAAACTTGAAAACTATCAACATTGTGTTTCATTGGTTCTAATGCTGGTTACTTTTTTAAAGTTGGTTTGATTTTGTAACAAGAAAAGATGACTGTGTTAAATCAGGAACGAACCGTAATGATAAACCACTTTATGAAAGAAAGCGAAACAATTTCTAATAACGTATAAGTTTTAATGTGAGGATTACGATAAGGTTACAAATAAAGTTAAGGTTATAATAAAGGGAACATGGGGTTTAGTTGGTAGCGTAACCTAGATATTCTAGTTCATAATGAGGCTCTCTCTTCATTATGCTTATATACTAAGTAATAATAAGTGCTACATTCTGGAATCAATCCTTTTAAGGTTGACACCATGAAAGGTTAGACATAATTATAAATGACAGGATGCTTCAAATATGGAGTAGAGAATGATGAGAACGGAAGATCAGAGGGATTGAGTAACTGAGAAGGAGGATACAATTTTCGTCACATCACCCCACTTTTAAATCAAGAATCGGTCCTCCGATTACGAATACGGTCAACAGAATGGGATTTGAAGTTTTTGCATAGGAATTGCATTTGATTTACGCGCTGTGTGTTGATTCAGAAATAGAGGGTGTTGATGGATAAACAGCTGGTTGGTCAGTTAAGTAAAAGTTCTCCTGTTAGTCCTGTGAAATTTGCAGCAATTCAGTTTTTTTTATTTACATTGTGCCTTATTTACAACCAGCATGATAATTGATAAATTTTTGGTTTTTGGACCACAAATGAGTAATCTCAACTAAATACATGCAAACCTTGCTAGGAACTATCAGAACCAAAAGATGATCACTGAAAGAGCTTGAGAACGTACGGATCTTACGTGCTTTCTAGCTTAAGATGAGACTTTTAACGTAAGCAAGACTCTCTTGCCCCATCAAATTGAGATCTAAAGAGGCCTTTACTTTGGTCTTGAAATTTTCCTCGTTCTACGTAGTTAGACCATAAGGCATAAATCTTTCAACCTAATACAGTCACTCTCGCTCCATCAAGTAAACACTTGAAGTAGCCATTGCTTCAATCTTGAATTTTAATGCTCATCATCTACGTGATTCTCACACGAATACTATACGTATAACATGAGTCTTTTAACCTAAGCGAGCCTCTCTTGCACGATTAAATTGAGGTCTAAAGAGGCCTTTACTTTGATCTTGAAATTTTCATATTTTATGGAGGAAAGTCGCTTTTAGTTTAATGAACTTCACAGAGGTAAAAGTTACTATCAAAGACTCTAATAACATGATCAATTCAATTCTTACTTTGCCACCAAATCTTTGATAGATTTTCCATGCGATTTTGAGCATATTTCTCATCTGATGTTACAAATTGATTTTCAAAATCTATCGGATTAAGGTTCTAAATTTTGGAAAATTTCATTTTATCAATTTGATCAACCATTTATAAACAGATCATCTAAATGAAAGTATTACAACTAGAAGAAGAAAAACTTTGAGTTTATTTCATGTGTGTATCGATCAATACTTTTTTGGTTCCTCAAGCTTGAGCATGTTCTTGTTTCTTACCAACCGACAACATGATAATGATGATGATCATGATCATCATAAGTCTCCATCTTTCCAAGTAAACGATTAGTCTTTCATAATTTCCATCATGATTGTCGTTTATTACCAACACCATTTATTCATCCATTCATTAGTTTCATTGGATGGACAAAACAACAACAACAACAACAACAAAAACGTTCACAATGATATCATCAACATCACAACTAAATTAGTCAAAACAGTGAACAATTAAAAGTATTTAAAAGGAAAACTGAAAATTTTCTTCATCATGAATCAAAAGTAAAAAATGTTCAACAAATATTTACTCACAGTTAATTGATAGTGAAAGTTATTTACGATTGATAAATGACAACTTGCTATTCATTATTAATGTTGAACCATTTATCAACATTATTCACTTAAATATTCTTCTTCCAATGATGATTCTGGTTAACGAGATTTTCTGATATTAAAATATGTAATAGATATAAATGTATTTCAATGTTACCTTGGAAACATAATGATATTTTCAATCTAATTATCTTTACTCAGGGTTTTCTTCATAACTTCCAACCCAAGTGAGAGTAAAAAACAAGAAAAGTTCATCTCAATACCTGACTTTCATGTTTCATTCCAACAATTCTTGATGATTCGATTTAGATGCGGATTTTGAAGATTCAGATGCAATCAGAGACTTTATTTATTTGTTTCACTCAAAGCATTTCTTAATTGAATAACATTAGTGTGACACAGATTGTAATTAAAACATTAATGTTACCAAAAGCTAAAAATAGTTGATCATTAATAGTTTACATTTTATTTTTAATTTGATGGCAAAAGACAAATGAGCAAATTAGATGACGCATTTTCATGGTGAAATTTGCAAAATGACAATCAATTTTCAACAAGAAAACAATGGAATTATTAAATGGTCGATATTTGTTATCAGCTTTCATCACTTCTTTCCGTCCAAATGAATAATAAATGTTCAACTCTTGTCAAGTTTCAACTCGTTATTTTAGGTAACTTTCCAAATGTTTTGGGTTAAGATGAGTTTTGGCATGCGAAGACAGATTTATAAAGATTAATGAGCGACCAGGAAAAAATGTCAAATATTTTAAGCACACTAACCGAGCATAAAATGTTTATCAGTTTAATAATTAAAGTGAATTAATTAGTAAAATTAGGTTTACTATTAAAAGAACCAGTTGAGCATAAGTTGGATTCAGTTGAGAAGGAAAACTTGATAAGAGTTTCCAAGAAAAATTAAATGCCATTCAATTAGCATGTCCAAATGAATAGAAAAAGATAAAAAAACTTAGGTTTCATCAGAAATTCTGCTTTATTCACTTTATTGGGATTGGGTTAGCAAATATTGATGACTTTTTATTCTCAAATCCCTGTTATCATTCCCAGTATGAAATCTATTTTACATTTGGGTTTCGCAATTTGAGAAAAATCTAGTTTGAGAACACTTTACCGCAAAATTTTTGTGATAGAAATTCTTGACAATCGGAACAAAAATGTAGAAAAGATCGATCATACAATATTTTAGATTTAACATTGAAATCGTGAATAAATTTTCACCTTCATTGTAACGATTCTATCAGTGCCAACGTTTTATCCCACTTTTGAGTGAAATGGCTTGAAAACTTGAGACAGCATGAAACAGCTAAATCAATTATTTATTAATTGGCAAGGATGACAAATTAATGAAATTAGATGCTGACATTTTAAAGTTGTAGAAATCAATTTCAAAGTCTTATTCAATTTGAATGATTTTTAATATTTTTGAGTTACATTTCATAGCTTAATGTAATGTTTTTCGCAGTAGTTTTCAAGTACGGCAGAGAACATTATTTCGAATTAACATGAAACTTTCAAATCATAGCTCCAATCTTAACAACGTAAAAACTATTGAATGTTGTAGTCTATCGACCACTGAACGATCAACTATGAGAAAGCATACAAAAAATTGTCCAAATTTATGTGTTCTGTTTTTTTCTTTAGTCTCTTTATCTTCATCATCGTCATTATCATTCCAAGAAAGAGAGATATTAATACATCTTTGTTTCCAGCACTATCAACTATCAAAAAATTAGGCATCGAGCTTATAACCTGATCGGAAAAAGTTTGGTACAAATCGAAATAATCCTTTTTTCTCAGAAACCATGAGCCCTAGAGGCTTGAAATTTCTAGGAAATAATCAAGATGCATGAGTCTCTATTGTATATAAATTTCAGCAAAAATTGAACAATCGGCCAGTCAGTAATCAACATGAGTTCTGTGTGCTTAAAATCAGCCGTTCAAAAGACTTTTCTAAGAATAATGAAAAGTGTTCGTGCTGAATTAGTGGAAAAATTTTGTGACATCGGTGTTCCTTGTACCTCAGCTAATCGTTAATACCTTCAACTCATAAACAACCCTAAAAATTTCATGAAAAAGTCTACTGGCCGCCCCTCTATGAAAGTTACGTCATTAGTGAAAAAAAATTTTTTGGCTATTGTAGAAAACAAGATTTTTCCCGGATTTTCTGCCATAGGAAGAAAATTAAATGTTGATGATTATACCGCCAAAAAGTTTGTTTAAAATTAGAAGTTTATATGAAAAAGAGAAAAAAGTGCAAAATTTTAGCCAAAACAAGATTGTTAATCTAAACTAATCGTTTTCCAACTCAAGGTGAGTCAATTGTACACAATTGTGAAAAAATCTTATCTAATTGTTAATTATATTTAATGTCCATCCAGGAATCTATGCTGCAATCGAGCTTGATAGCGAAGAAAAGCTCAAAGTTGTTCCTCCCAACGAGGGAGAACGAAAGTTTATTTCAAGCTGTTTTTAAAAAGAGAAAA